AGTCATTTTATATATAAATTTTTCTAACTTTAATTCGTTAAACGTAGTACGAATTTTTAATTACTAAATTCGGTATAATAAGGGTTTTTTTATATTTAAAAATCTGTCCAACACTGAAAATCCGTTGTATTGTAAAATTCGTTATATCAAAATTTGTTGTAGAAAGAGTTGACTGTATAGCTATTTTATATCTATTATAATAAAATTATAATGCTTATTATATTTAAAATATTAATTAAATAAAGATTTTAATAATAAATAAAAGTTATAATTAAAGATGGTACCTCAATTAGTTGCAATAGGTGACAAATAAGTATTATAATATTGTAATAAATTATAACATTATTAAATTTAAATTATAATAAGTGATAAATAAGCGTCACAATGTTGCAATGTCATCTTTAATTATAATATTTGTTAAAAAGTCCATATTATAGTAATTTTTTAGATTTGCAATTTGATAAATTAATTTTCTTTCAATAAAACTCTAATATTAATTTTACATATAATTTTTATAAAAGTGATTTTTTGGTTTATATCTGAATTTTTTAGAAAAAAGAACTTAAAGTAAATTTGACAAAAAATTAATAAATACAAATATTACTCAAAATTAAAAGGAAGAATATAGTATTATTGAATTTTTCTAAATGTCTGTGTAATTTATCTAAAATTCTATAAAAAATGTGTAATAATTTTTAAAAACTTAATATATTAAAAAAAAAATTTATATTTAAGGAGTTTAACCATTAAATAATAAAAAATAAAATTATTTATATAAAAAAGATTATTTTTTTGAAATATAAAATCTATTGATCATCTAACTTTTAAATTATACATGATAAAAATCTATAATTTTACAAATTATTAAAGTTAGTATTGAATTTAAATTTAAAAAAAAATTAATAAATATTATTAATTAACTTTAAGAATTATGAGAGGTTAGATACTTATGATCGCTACTGTAATATAAATAAAATAAAATACTAATTGATTACAAATAATAAATGATTAATAATATAAAATAATTAGTAATATAAAAAAATTTCTAGTGATTTCTGGGGTTTTGTGTAACCTTCATTTAATTTATTTCTTTTATCTTCACATCTTCATTATCTAACGTGATGCAGTTAATGTGACTTCTAATCATGTGTATCATATTATATCAGCTGATCTTTTGAATTAATATTTTCTAGTATATTATATTCTTAATTTGACATATTTATATAACTAAAATTTATTATTTTTGATATAGATCTTTTTCATTTACTAGTATTCTAAAAACAAATAAAAAATGTTATAAAGTTTTATCTAAAAAGAAAATAATAGAAAAGCAAAATAAAGAGAGAAACAAAATATAAAAGATATGTTTTATTAATCTATATATATATTTATACTTAATTATACTATAATTATTATATATGATTAATATATATTTCAGATCGATTTGTTCTATTTTATAAGATGTTAAGATTTTAAATATGTTTAAAAAAATTTTGAACCTAGTGAAAAAAATCTAAGCTGACTAAAGTTTTATTATTAACAGATTTCTTTAATATCAATTAAAATGAAAGCTTAAAATGTAATCAATCAAAATTTTCAAGTTGAGATTAATTAAAGTTCAAAATCAAAGTCATTTACAATCTCTATGTTGAGATTAATCAAAAATTCAAAGTTAAAATTATTTATGGTTTCTAAATTAAGATTAATTAGAAGTTTAAAGTTAAAGTCATTTACAATTTTTAAGTTAAGATCAATCAGAAGTTTAAAATTAAAGTCATTTATAATCTTTAAATTAAGATTATTAATCAAAAGTTCAATAAGTTTAAAATCATTTCCAGTCAGTTTTAGATCTTAATTAAAATAATAATGTAAATCAAAAAATTTATTTAGTAATAATTTAATTAATAGATAATTACAATTTTGAAGTTACTTATGGTCAGTCTCAAGTTCTTCAAGTTTAATTTAGAATTCTATCAAATATTTATTTAAAAAGAATTTTCTAAGTAATTTTTGAAAAGCTTTAAAAATAAGTAATATTTTTTATTATACTAATATATATATAAATGATATTTTTATTTATAATATAATATTTAGCATGAAATTTTTTAGATTATTAGAAGGATAACATCTTAAAATCAGATAATAGTAAATAAAATATTTAATTCTTAAAAATTCTTGTTAACAGCATAATTATTCTAACAGTTATAAAAGTATTAGATCCAAAAAATATATCTAGTTACTGAAAGTATTATATATGTCATGACCTATATTTGACATAAAAATTAAACATAAGAATTATTTGAAAAAGCAAAAGTTAGAAACCTTTTAAAATAAACAAACTAGACAAAAGTATCAAAATAGTAGAAAAATTAATGTAATTAGAAAGTATTATTATTATTATTATTTATTTACTAATTAATATATTTTATAATTATAGAAATAGACAAATTGAACTAATATGATTGAAACATTTGGAATTCATCAATGATCTGTTGATTAATATGTTTAAAAATAGTGAACTTAGACTTATCAAAAATAATTCTACATATCACTCACCTGAATTTTGAAAATTAATGAAGAAGATAACAACTATAAAAAGAAAATTTTAATAAAGGACTTGAAATAGTATTCAGATATAGTAAGATATAATGTTAATAAATATCATAAATCATATTAAATTATTATGTAAACTATAAAAGATCACCACTTAAACATCCTATTTAACCATTTTGATTTGTTAGAATCACATTTTAATATTATTAAAAAAATTTTATTAAATCATTTCAAATTTTTAAGATAAATTTATTATATATTATAGATTATATAGATTAATTATAATTTTGTAAATTAATATAAACTTATAAATAAGTTATAAATTTGTAAATAAGTTCAAATACTAATTAATCTTTATATTTTTTATAATCAATAAACTAATCTTACTAAATAATCTATTTTCAATTTTAAGTAATATATATATGAGAAGGTTGTTAGAAAAATCTGGTTATAGAAATTTTTTAAACAAATTTTGATAGTCGACCCGACCACAACGTACAAGGTTAAAGATCTACACCCCAGAATGATCATCAATCTGATAGATCACGGGGTGAGACCCTGCAAAATATAATTGAAAGATATTCGAATATTTTTTTGCTTTAACCCTTATAATATAATACTTCTTGCGAAAGAAATTTTTTTTTTTATGATTCTATGATAAAAAAAAGCAATGACTCAGCATAAATAACCTGGAATCTTCTTTTTTTTAAAAAAAAAAAAAAAAAATCATCATTATAATTTGTTAAATATGCATAAAGAATATAAATCTTTATCAGATACTGTATCGGATCCGTCTACGTTGCAAAGTGATGAACTCAACGAAGCTGAAGTCACAGAGAGTCCTGAAAATCCTTCAAATGAAGGTAACACTGTCAAGCGACGAAGGCAAGCAGCGACTAAACCTAAGGCTGCCCCAATTGAAAGACCACGTAGAAGTGTTAGGCCCGTTGTCCCTTACGGCTCGGAGGCAACCGAATCAAAGGCTCGTAACAAGAAGCCGGTCGAAATCTCACAAGGTTCTGGCCTTTCCCTCAGTCAAATTCCACATGTATTACGTGCGATTGACAAAATGAAGACAAGCGACGACGTCCTGAAAGGGTTACATAAGCTTATTTACGGTCGAATGGGTTCAAAGCATGACATTAAAAATCATATTCGTGCTTTCTCTGGATTTAAGATCCAAACACCACTCGACGAGATCGTTCTTAAAGAAAAGCTTGAAAAATGGAAGATCGCAGGGCTTAAAGACATATGTCATCTCTTTGGCCTTAAGTCATCTGGCGATAAGCAAAAGATTGTTGATCGCGTTTATGACTTTTTAAAGAATCCTCGCGATATGACTGCTCCCAATGAAGAGAATGGTAAAGGAAAAAGCGGAAAAAAAAAGAAATCGGTCGCTATTAAAGCAAAGACTATTATAATTAGGAAAAAAACGGCAAAGGACATGTTTTATGCGGTACAAAGATCAGTCTATAAAGAAAAAGAGGAAAATCTTTCCAAGACTCGAGCAGAAATCGACAGTCTCCTGGCCGATGCATGGAAAGGTTTATCCGAAGAAGATAAAAAATCATATGCAGAAAAAGCCACAGATACAAATATGACTGAGCCTCAACAAAAAAGACAGGTACAAACAATATCTCATCCATTTTTTTTTTTAATCACATTATTGTATCAATGTGTAAATATTTACTGATAAAGTCCTCACATATAGAATCAGAGCAAGATTAGGGCCAAACAACCTGAAATGGTTGAAGATTCTGACCTCTCTGATGAGGAATTTGAAGACTCTATGACAAACGAAGAAGAACAGCCTAAAGATACTGACGTCGTGGACTCGGATTCAGATCTTAGTGATCCACCGAGTGATGACGAAAACAATGATGCTGTCGTTGAAGAACAAGAAAATAGCAGACTTATGACCATGGAAATAGACCTTGACGAGGCTGTGCCTGAATCGGCACAATCTTCGCGAAAGCGAGGTGCGGTCGAGCTTGAGGCCAAAGAAGGGCCTCAGAAAAGGCAACGTTCGGTGGCTTCGGCTGCCAGTCGTCGTGGTCGTGGTCGCCATTTGAAATAAGGCAGCAAAAAGGATGTTAATTATAAGTGAAAAAAAAAAGACAATTGAACAATAAGTTCAATAATAACCCTGAAATTAACATTTAAAATAAACAAAAGCAACGATTCATAAAAAGGAAGCAAGCGCGAAAGCACACTTGTAAAAAAAGGTTAATATGGTTGGCTATTAGGTACTAAAACACAAACTGTATAAAAAGGAAACATTGATGAGCAAAAAGTACGCACACACAAAAAAAAGGTAGCATATTACATAGCAATCAATAAACAATAAGCCGTTTAGAGGCCATTCGTAAACTATCATTTTTCTACTATCACATAAAAATTCTTTATCATTGAGTGTTTAACTATTATTTTACATTTATAATGAACGAAGATTGATTGATTATATAGAATTATAAGAAATAGTTAAATGTGCACTAATTTATTCAAAGAGTTAAGTAGAAATTGGTCGTATTTGAATTAATTGTATACTAGTAAATCAGTAATTTGTTCATTTTTAATATAATTACTAAAATATCGCCAAAATGTATAAACGGATAACGAATCGAAAAGAATTAGGACATAATTTCAGAGCAACTATCAAAAAGGTTCTATTTATTTAGTGCCAAATCGTGATAATTTATAACTTTTTTTTCCTTAACATCAGGTTATTTTAATCAAATAATGGTAAAAAAATGAAACCAGAAATGATATATGCTTACTAAATATAAAAAGTACAATGTTATAGAGGATTATATTATTAACGAACTAAAAAAATTTCCGTTTTTTTCTTTTCCTGAGATCAATTTTGTGAATATTCAACGAATACACAGTATTATTATAATTTATTTTGCTTTATAAAGAGAATATAAAGTTTTTAGAAAGATATATCAAAAAAAAAATAACAAAAAAAATAAAAACTTATATGCTAGTCATTATCATATTTGTGTATTTGTGTAATCTTTTAATTATAATCTAAAATGCTTACATTCGTTTTTGTATTTTCGATATCTTTAATTATTTTATTTATTTTTAAAAAATTTAAAATATCTGAATTAAAATTCAGATTTATTATAAAATTATTAATCTAGTTCGAAATATTATAATAATTTAAATTTATTTAACATTATAATAAATGGGTTTTCATTTTTTTTTTATAATTAACTTATAGAATAATATATTAATATTTTATTAAAGTTTTTAATTAATCAATAAAAACTTATATTTTCTTAACTATTTCATATTTTAATATATATTTAATTTAATATAAAATGGTTTTAATTATATTAAGATAAAATTCAGATGTAATATATTTTTAGTAAATACTTTAAATTTTTTTTTATATAATTCAAGCTTAATAACTTTTGTAATAGAATAAAAGAATATTATTATTAAAAGTATACAACATGACCCTATTTCAAAAGAACAGTTTTTTCTTTTCCACCTACACCACAGTCATTTTCCTTTACTTTTAAAAATGAACAAAAAACTGGTCTTTCTTTCAAACCATAAAAATGAACAAAAGCAAAGTAAAGAAATATTTAAATTAGATAATAATAATAATTTATTATTTTTTTAAATAATAAATATAAAATTATTTAAAAAATTTTTAGAAAAATTATAATATTTTGATATCTAAATAATTAAAATAATAAAATAAAGTTTATTAAATTTATCATATTAAGATACATCTAATAGTAGTATTTTTAAATTTTTTAAAATTAATAATTATTAATATACTGTATATTAATATTTTAAATTTTTAAATCTTTAAAAATAACTTATTACTTAATAATCACAAAAATTTAAAATTTAATTTATTAAATTCATTATATTAAAATCTATTAAATAGTATTATTTTTATATTTTTAATTAATAAATAACAAGATAAATAAATTTAAAAAATTTAATATTATTTATAATAATTTATTTTATATATTTACTTTAAAAATCACTAATTAATTACAATTTTTTTATATAAAAATTACCTGTATAAATAAAATGATTAAATGTGTAACATTATATATAAATCCAAAAGAAAATTATATCTTTTAGCAAAATTTGAGTTCATTTTAAATTTAGTTACATAAGTTTCTATTTTAGAAAATTTGTGTAATATAATATAATTTATTATAAAGCAACAGAAACTATTAAAATTTATTTTTAAAAATTTTTTTAAATTAGTATAATATTATATGATTAGCTTCTGTTTTTTTATAATAGAAGTTATTAAAATTTATTTTTATTAAAAAATCTAATTTTCTTTTTTTGTAAATTTGTATAATATCATGTGATTTTAATTTCATTACTTTGCAATAAATTAATAGCAAGTTATTAAATAAGATTACTTTTAAATTTGTAAGCAAAATTATTAAAAGGATAATTATTACAATTATATTTAATTATATATATAATTCAAAATATTTTAATTTAATAATAATAAATATTATGAATAATAGTAAATATAATTATAAATAATATAAAAATATAAAAAATATAAAAAGTAAAAAATACTATTTTTTATATTAAATTATTCAAGAATAAAATTATAAAATTTAAATTTATAAAAAATATTATTTAATATTATGTTATATAATAGTCTATTACCTTTTAAATAAAATATATTATAGAATTATATAATTTAATTTTATATATCTAATAATCAATATTATTACACCTAAAAATGATGTGCAAAAATGATTTTTTTTTTTTTTTTTTTATAAGTGCGGCAGTCTCGCATGATCTTTA